ATAATGATGTACACCTGAAATTTATACAATGTTATAAACCAATGTTACTGCAACAAACAAAAAATAAAAAAATAAAAGAAAGGCTTTCTAGAAGTTTCTTGGGTATTTTAAGACCACCTCTGGTGCCTTAGGGGACTTGCAGTTCTCAGCAGAGACAGCTCAAGGAGGACGTAGGATACTGAAGAAGAGGCCCCCTTCAGTCAAAGAATTATTTATCCAGAATTCCCGAAGGAAAGAAAAAGAATGGAGAGTCAGGAAGTGGGAGTGGGGTGGCAGTTAGCCAGTGGAAAGTAAGATCAGGCCAAGGATGGGAAATGAGGTCAGAGCCAAAGGAGAAATAAAAGCACGCTTGGTGGGGATGTACAGGAAGTGCAGCTTGGAGGAAAGCGCTTCACAAATCAAGGCTGCTCGAGACGTAGGAGACTATCTGTCCCATAAGATCCCCTTTCGTTTTACAGATAGGAAATCAGGTCCATCATAAGCCAGAAACCCTGAGAATTCCTCAAGAAGCAACATCAAGATCAAGGGTGAGGGTGGGGAGCTGGGGCAGAAAGCAGGTCCTGCGGGATGGGCACTCCAGGAAGAAAAGGTCTGTGGCTCAGAAAAGGGAGTGAATTCAGAGCTATAAGAAGTGAAGTCAGCAAACACATGCAGTGAGGACTGATTCAAGAGGACCTTTAGTTTAAAGATTTTATTTATTTATTTTTCCCCCAAAGCCCCAGTAGATAGCTGTATGTCATAGCAGCACATCCTTCTAGTTGCTGTATGTGGGACGCGGCCTCAGCATGGCCGGAGAAGCAGTGCGCGCCCGGGATCCGAACCCGGGCCGCCAGCAGCGGAGGGCACGCACTTAACCGCTCAGCCACAGGGCCCGCCCATGGACCTTTCGTTTAAATGACAGTGCCAACACTATTTGATCAATCTATCAGACTTCTCAGTGACTGAAGGGTGGACTTAGAAAAAGGGAGCTTGAGAAAGTGATAATAGTGACACAACCAGGTAATGAGGCCAGCCTGTCAAGAGGAGATAGTGGCAGAGACAGGAAGAGAAGCCAGAAAGGCCGGAAGTGATGTCAGCTCAAACAGGAAGTAGTATCAGAAGAGCAAAATGCTGGGGTGAAACAGGAAGTGATGTCACAGAAGCAGGAAATCTTGCAAGGTCAAATAGAAAGTGACATCAGAGCAATGTGATAGAGTTTGAACAGGAAGTGATGTTCTATCCAACAGGAAGCAAGGGTCAAGCCAAACCTTGGTGAGGTAGTAGACAGACTGCTGGAAGGTGCACATGATGACCTCATCCAGGAGGGCCATGGCCTCGTCACATAATTCCAAGTCATTGCAGAGCTGTGGGTCTGAGGACAGGCCTGGGGGTGAGAGGGAGAACCAGAGGATGGCAGGCAGGAGCCCAGGTCCCCAGGGGCAGAAAATGGCAGGGAGCTGGGACAGGCCTGGGCCTGGGTCAGAGCTCACCCTCCTGGTCGGCCTCCTTCTCCATCTCCATCACCTTCTCCTGCACAAAGCTCAGCAGCTCCGTCGTGTTGGCCATCCACAGCATGAGCGGCCGCAGCTCCACGGACACAGCCTCGGGGGTCAAGGGCACCTCAGGGACCCCTTCAGGGTGGCTGGAGAAGGAGGAAGGGACCTGTGACCCTTGCCCAACCCCCACCACAGTGTCCAAACCCCGAGATCTGGGTCTAATTGGTGACTGAGTCCAATCCAATCCCCATTTCACAGCTGGAAAAGTTGAGTCCCAAGGAAGAGCAGAAACTTGCACTAAGATATGCATGGGGTGAACACAGAACTGGCTGCAAATCCCGACCTCTGCATCCCTCTAGACCCTTCTCCCCAGAATTTCTCTTACTTCTCTGGCTGACGGTCTCCAATTTCTTTAATTTTTTCCTGTGGAACAGTAAGATCAGAATCAAGGTGAGGGGGATTGGAGAGAGAGGCCTATGAGTTAATACCTTGGTTTTTCTAGAAGCATCTTTTAGACAGAGACTCTCCCCACTTTTCAAATGGACTCTTAACTCTCAAATGGACTCTTAGTCCATTTGGTCTCAAATGGACTCTTAGCTCCCCTGAGCTAACATCTGCCAGTCCCCCTCTTTTTGCTGAGGAAGACTGGCCCTGGGCTAACATCCGTGCCCATCTTCCTCCACTTTATATGGGACGCCGCCACAGCATGGCTTGACAAGCAGTGCGTCGGTGTGTGCCCGGGATCCGAACCAGCGAACCCCAGGCCGCCGCCGTGGAGCGCGAGCACTTAACCGCTGCACCACTGGGCCAGCCCCCGCTCTTCCTATCTTTTAAAACACACAGTCCTATGATTGAGTGGTCTATCTCCCTCAGGTCCGCTTCTGCTCAAATGGAGTTTCCTTCTCACCCCAAGGAAACTTCCTAGACCTTGTCTCTAACTAGACCCAAGCTCAAGAGGATGGAAACTTTCCTCTATCTGAATGGTTTCTCCCTGACCTTTCCATCTGTAGGTCCAATGGGTTTTTTCTCCCTCGCCTCCAAGAAGGGTCTCACCCACTACCGCTCCAAGCTTCAGGACCAGTGAGCTGCCCACTTCACCTCTCACAATGGTCTCTCCCAAATTCTTATCCAATGGGATGTCTTCCCCCCTCCCATCTCCCAGAATGGTTTTTTCCATTGTCCCGCGGGTGCTCTTCAAGCACTGTGGAGGAATCCACAACTCCCAGCCTCCTTTGGGACTCCTTGCGTAATAGCGCAAGCCTCTCCTAAAGCATCGTGGGAGGTGTAGTTTTCTCCCACCCAACTACCAAATGAGTGGACGGTGGCGAGGGGAGGCTGGGAAAAGGACCCGAGGCGCAGCTGGGGCTGGAGGGCGGTTGGGAGCACTCACCCAGACAGCCTCCTTGATGAGACGGGCCAGGCGGCCCAGCAGGCGCGGCAGGTGGCCCAGCTCCAGCTCCCGGGCTGAATGCTGCACGCACAGCGCTAGCAGCGTGGCGGGCCCGAGCGGTGGCAGGTCCCCGGCGCCGGCGGCCGCGGTGCGCACGATCTCGCCCAGCAGCGCCTCTTCCTCGCGCGGCCGGAAGCGCAGCACGGGCTCGCGGCCGTCCAGGTAGGCGGCCAGCGCCTCCCCGCGCTCCTGCAGGCCTCGGCCGCACAGGCGGCAGGAGAAGGCCCAGCCAGGGCCCGGTGGCGAGGCCCCGGGGCGCGCGGGCAGCCATGGCGGCCGCGCTGGCCCCGAGCCCCCCGTGCGGGGGTCCTTATACATGAACAGGAAGTGCTCGCCCAGCCCCAGCAGGTCGCCCGGGTGCAGCTCGGCTTCCCGCAGCAGGAGGCACCCGTTGTGCGTGACCGGGGCTCCCCGGGATGGGCGCACCATGGCCGGGGGCTCAGGGCCCGCTCGCACTGTGCAGTGACGTGGCAGGATGTCCGGGGCGTTGAGAAAGGTGTCCACATACGGGGCTGGGGATCCACCGCGGGTCGAGGAGTTCCCGCCCCGGCCGAACACGTGCTGCTCCCGCGTCATCACGTACACCACGAAGTCCTGGAGGGAAAGTGGAGACGCACTAAGGACACCAATCCACGAGGAAGGGACGGTTCCAAGGAGATCTCTTTCCCACAATCAACTTCCCCGTCAACCACCTCCCTTGAATGAACACTTCCAAGGAGCTCTCCTGGGATCCCAAAGGACTCACCAATTACCCCCACCTGCATGAGTGGACTCTTCAAAGGCACTTGAAGGACTGTCCTATAACACTCATCCTGAAGACTGTATACTTACAAGGAAACCCCTTTCTTACAAGGAAACATGGGTTCTACCATTTCCCTCCCTCAAAGAATGGATGCTTCTCAGGTCTTTCTCCAATGGACTAGCCCATCTTCTTACCTCCTCTGAATGGACTCTTTCAAGGCAATCCCTTCTTGCAGTGGATTCTCCCATAACATCCAGCCCAAAGAATGGGTGCTTCCAAGGACAACACACCCCCATTACTAAAATGGACTGTCCCATTACCCTCATCCTCAAAGAGTGGACCTTCCCAAGGAAAGCTTCTTTCTCCAAGGAGCTCTCCCATTTCCCTACCCCTGGCCCCACTTGCCCATCATCCTACCCCCATGATAGAGGCTTCCAAAGACATTTCCCCCTCCAATAATAGTTTCTCTCAATATTCTCAAGGCAAGGAATGGATACCTTTAAAGAGACTCCCCCTTTGAACAAAAGTTTCTTCCATTATCTCCACCCCATGAATGTACATTTCCAAGGAGACCCCCTTTCTCCAATGGACTCTCTCATTTTTTTTCCCCACTCCATGATGAACTCAATTCTAAGAAGACATAATCCTACAATGGACTCACCTATTACCCCCACTCCCATGATGGAGGATTCTGAAGGTGCTCTCCCTTCCATCAATGGATGCTCTCAATATTCCCATCCCAAAAAAGAACATCTCCAAGGAGATCTCCATATAGTGGCTCTTCTAGTAACCCCATCTTATAAATAGATGTTTTCAAAAAGACACTCTTCTTATAATGGAGTGTCCCATTTCATCCACCAAATGAAGAAATGCATTCCAGAAGACCCCATCCTAAAAGTGACTCTCCCATCTCCATCCTATAAAAATGGAAGAGCTCAGTCTGACCTGCTTCCTAAAATAGACCCTTCTGTTCTCCATGCATGTCTGAGAGAATAGTCGTCCTGATATCCATAAATCCCCTTCCTACACTGAACTCTTCCATTACCTTTACCCCATGGATGGACGTCTCCAAAGAGACCCCTTCCTGCGATGGATTTGCTCATCTGTTTCTCTAGAAAAACAGACCTTTCCAGTCTGACCACCTTCTGAAGGTAGAATCTCCCCTTTTCCATCCCTGTCTGAAGGAATGGAGTGATCCAAAAGACATGAACCCTTTTCTAAAATGGGCTCTCCTGTTCCTTAACCCAAGAAGAGATGCTTCCACAGCACATACAATGAACTCTCAGGTTACAGCCACCCATGAATAGACAAGTGCAAAAAAATTCCTTTCTATAATAAATTCACCTCTTACTCCTGTTCCCAAGGAATGGATACTTCCAATGAAGCCTCTTTCTTACAAAGAAATTTCTCATGAACCTCACCCAAAAGAATGGGTGTTTCCAATGTTTCCCCCTCTTCCTGTAAGAGACTCTCCTATACTCCCAGAATAGATCCTTCCAATTTGACTACCTTCCCAAAATAGACCCTACTATTCTCCAACCTTGTCTGGAGGAATGGGCTGTTATAATATATGCAAACCCCTTCCTACAATGAACTTGCCCTGTCACCTCGCCCCAACAAGGAGGAATGAATTCTTCCATGCAAGCCCTTCTCTGAAGAGTCTTAACCTCTCACCCATACACACAGCCAAGCCACCTAACCCAACTGGATCCCTCTCTGACGGTAACAATGGAACTGGTCGATAAGCTCCACCACCTTCTAGAGTGGGCTTTCCCATTGATCCCAGCAGTACCTGTTGAGCTTGGCTCTACCACTGTTACCCAAATGTGGACAAAACCATACGGCTGATTCTCCCAATCACACAAAAAAATGAATATTTCCAATAATATATTACATTTCTATCAGTGAAATAATTTCCCACTGACCGCCCAACTGCTAATCCTTTCTCCCTCTCTGCTCCCTACCACTCAAACACGTTCTCCTGTTACCACCGAAATAGTAAAATAGAATTATCAGTCCTACCTGCCCCCATCAACAATGGTCAAATCGTTCCAATGTAAACCATCACTTTAAAAAAATGGATTAGTCTACTCCTCCCAAGAAAATATAGGCTTACCCAGAACAAGATCCCAGGCATCAATCAAATTATCTCCCTCCCCTAGAAGACAGACTCTTCCATTATCCCTCCACTCTAAGAAATAGATGCTTCCAAGGAGATCTCCTTTCTACAGTAGGCTCTCCCATTCTCCCTCCACGAAGACAGCTCTTTCCTCCAACTTTGAGTGAAATGAACCATTCCCTACTTGTCCCTCCAGTGGAATCTTTCTCAGCCATATATCCTCCAGCACTACACCTCTAGTCTCTGACAATGATATCTTCTACTCTGGAACCTGGCTGGGACCTCACCTTCCAGCACACCTGAGACTACCGCGACCCAAGGAATTCTGGGACTTGTAGTTTTGTCGCCCTTCAATCGAAGGGTGGGGCATAGGGCTCTCCCGGTAGGACAGGCTGCGCTCACCTGGGCGTCCTGGTAGCCCTGGAGTAGCAGGAAGTAGGGGTGGTTGCTGGGCGCCTGGATGAGGCACTGGGTCAACTGATCGAAGTCGCCGGGGTCTGCAGATCCGATTTGGGCGTCGGCTGCCCCTGGGGCCATGCTAAGGGCCTGCTGCCTGCGCTCCTGCTGCCGCCGCCGCCGACCCTGCAGGCTGAGCTCCGACACGCTGCGCCGCAGGGACAGGTTTTCCGAGCGCTCCTTGCCCCCGGATCCAGCCGCGGGCCCTGACCCGGACCCTGGGCCAGGACTAGCCAGCGCCGCCCCACCGGACGCTGCCCGGGAGCGGTTCTTCTGTGGTCGCCACGAGGGGGCGCCCGTGCCTGCGGAGAGAGAGGGAGAGCGGTGAGGCCAAGACTGGAAAGAGACATAGGAAGGGATAGACAGACTCAGAACTGGAGATTTTAGAGACAAAGTATTGGCTACAGGGAGGCGAGCTGCTTCCCACCTTTGCGATTTTGCATATGCTGTTCCCTGTGCTGGAACACACTTTCCACCTGACTCCTACCCATCTTGCCGTTTTCAGCTCAGAAATTAATTCATTTCTTCAACTACTATTTTTTGAGGACCTACTATGTAACGGTCACTGTTCTAGGCACTAGGGACTCCGCAGTGAACAGAGAAGACCCTGCCCCCAGGGAAACAGAAACCACCTTCTCCTGAACACCCTTCCCTGACTTTCCAAGTTGAAGCAGAGAATGGCACCACTGGGCACTCTGGGCTTTGGGCCCAGAACAGCCCTGGCACATAGTAGGTGCCTAGTGGAAATGAGCTGAACCAATGAAAATGATGTGTTTCTCGCTAGACTGTGAAATCTAGGAGGGTGGGGACTTCACCTGTCAATGTGTCCACTGTATTCCCCCGGGTCCCTAAATAATGTGTGGCCCACAGTAGGTGCTCAATGAATGCCTTTTGGGGAAAAAAAAAAAGACAATGATGGCTATAATTGCCATCCTTAAGTAAGCAATGTGCCAAGCCCTGTGCTAAAATCCTTTATATACATTATCTCGTTGAATCTTCATCTAGGATTTTGCTGAGTTCAACTGGCTAAGAATGGATTGGAATCCAAGTCTGAGTTCAAAGCCCATGATTTTAATTGGTACACAACTCTATCTCCAAATGGAGACTCTGAAACAGAAAATCAGTTAGAGGGCTCCCTGAGCAGCCCCTCTAGCCCTGTGAGCGAGGCCCCACCCCTGCGAGGCTCTGCCTCGAATTTGCTATTTCACCAATGGCGCCACCTCCTGTTCCAGGCCCGGCCTTCTCAAAGACCAGGCCAACACGTAAGCTTAACTTTCCTTGGCCTCTACAAACCCCTCTTCGTTTCCCATACGCCACCCTCAAGCCCCCACTCACACTTTGCAGCCAACCCAGCACCTGCTCCAAAGCCCGCCCCTCTGAGGCTCCGCCCATTCTCAGTCCGTGACCTAGCAGCCCAATTCTTGCTCTCCAGGTCCCTCCCCCTTCTAGGCTCCGTCCACATAGGCCCTGCCCCTCACTGACCACTTCAACCTACTGCTCTGGGAGACCTCCTGCCCCGGGGATCCGCGCCCCCACGCATCTGCCCCGCCCAACACCTCTTGCTCCGGGCGACTCTATTCCGCAGGCCCCGCCCCAGCATCACAGGCCCGGGCCAGCGGCTCTGCACATTCCCCAAGTGCATCACCCTCTGGCCTAGCCCATCTGGCTGCCGCCGACGCTGCCCCAGCTGCGCCCTCCACTTGACCGGGTGCTTTAGGTCCCGCCCAGTCCCCGCGGGCCCCGCCTCCAGCCCGCCTTCTGGCCCCACCAGCCCCGCAGGCCCCGCCCACCCCGGCTCCGCCCCCAAGCCGCAGCCCGTCCCTCCCGCTGGTCCCGCCCCACGCCCCGCCCCGTCCCGCAGGCCCCGCCCCCAGAGCCCCCGGGCCGGCTCACCGTCGCTGTCTGCAGCC